TGAAAGTAACGAGTAACTTGAAGTAACTGAGTTACTTTTGATAGAAGTAACTAGTAATGTAACTAAGTTACTAATTTAAAGTAACTTACCCAACACTGTTCACTAATAGTGGCAGCAGTGAGCCTGCTTTTGATTGCAGAGCTTTGGTGGGGCGTGGTCTGCAGGGCAGTTGAACATACCTGAGCGCCATCCGTGAACACACTTCACCAGCTTAAAACAGAATGAACTAGGTCCTGTTGATGTGTGTAGGCTGTAGCCAAAAAGCTGCAGCCGCATGTGTAAGTCGACAGCCGACAGACTTGCACACACGGCTGCAGTTTTTCAGGGGATGCAGTGGATGTGCATAATATTAACCTAGCTGCCACAAATGTCTTTGTTCCACCATAAAAGTGATTCTGATGTTAGTTCCGCATAACCTTTCTGCCAGGTAACTTGTGCCCCACCAGTGGGGTGCTCCACACACTTTGAGAACCACTGCCTTAGAGGCAGGAACAGCCTTCACAGTTACATTCTGATAATACACATTCTTAAAGGCACCTGTTTGAAATTCTTACAGGTGTTTCAGTTCTGCGAGAGCTTTCCTTACCGATACTGTCAAACGGGATGTTGATGGTGTCACTGGATGTCCATACGCTGGTGTAGATTAAAAGACAGAGAGGCATCATCCCCAAGGCCAGGAGAGAGGAGCAGGTTGTCATACTGATACTGAGGAGCGAAGGATTTGGACACCGATGAGTTTCCTGCATTTGTCCCTAGCTGTGCTTATACACACTAACATGATCTGTTTTATTTAAATAGTGCATTAACATTAAATAAATGTAAATAAAACTCTAAACCAATAAAAACTTGTAACAGATTAATTCTGTTGTGTTCTCCTGCCAGGTACCTACACAACAAGAAACTCTTCCTTAAAATAGCTTAAGAGTGTTCTGGGATCCAAACAACATGAAAATGTTCTATTTAGTTTACATACACAGATGAAAAAAATAGCTATAGTTCCTCTAAAAGCAGCACTTGGTGATACTGTGGAAAAAAGAGGTTCCCTTTTAAACAGGAAGAAACCTCCAGCTGAATCAGGCCCAGTGAAGTCTGCTCTTTAACATAAAGGGAAAAAGAAAAAAAAATAGCAATCAACCTGCCCAAGGTCTCACCTGAGGTCCATGTCTCC